GAAAACGGCCATAGAGTCAATAAACTCACAAACTATATAACAATACATGGCTGGACAGACTCTATGAACGTGATGGGTTGATTACAACGGGAGCCTTCAAGATGGACTATATTTGTGCCTAATCGCGTAACACAGATCACTGGCATCGTGCCATCGGGATGCTGGAGGCACGTCAAGTCTGAACATAACGCAGCAGACTGTGCCAGCAGAGGCCTAACTCTACTACAACTGGCGAATCATCATTTATGGTGGGAACCTATTTAAATAAAAGACAACGATTTACCACTTCAAGGAACAACCCACACAACTATTTAAGAGAAAACGGATCAAACAAGTTTGCATGTCACAAAGGTCGGTGCCTTTAATAGAAAACTTTTAAACAAATACAGCTGTATGTATGGCACGGGTAACTTGAATCCTAAGTTGGATACTTCGGTGCATCAACAATGCCATACGGTCATTGTACCTAGCAACGCGTGACCTGCAAAACGCACATAATACAATTATCAAAGCTATACAAAGTACAAACTAAGCATTTCGCCGACGACATTGCACAACTCAATAAACATTATAAAGTGCGAGTAACGAGCAGTATTTTAAACTTTAACCCGTTCCTAGACGAGCACTAAATCTTACGTGTAGACAAGCACAAAATGTTACGAGCAGAAACATCCAATTATCTTACCTTTCTACTCGTGTTTACATCCCGGGACATCAACGTCTCGCGATGTAATAATGTCGTCAGCCCAGGCCTGGTAGTGTTCCTGTTTATAGCGTGATGGTATTTTACATGAGCGACCAAACCATGGTTGGAATTTGCCTCCGATGGGCACCACAGAAGATGGAATAAAAAATTCCATATCTTGAAGTACCACATCAACGACAGAATCAGCAACATTGCTGGAATTTTCCGGCGAGAAGCTTACCCGCACTCAAGGGTAGAATGCAAAAAAGGCCGCATCCTTTCCCAATTGGCCGACCTAAAGTGGCATACACGGCGGCAGCCTGCAGAATGCAACCGCGACGAAAGTGTGAGTGACACCACCCTCCGGACAAGACAATGACCCTAGAAATCATGAGGGGTGTCGACGGATATCTGATATCCGTCCGGATGAGAGGTCAGCAGAAGTTCCAACAGGGAAGGTGCATGATCCTCCACATCTGGGATCTGCATAGACAAAGTAACCAGCTGTGTATGTACCATATGCCAAGGCAAAGTCATAAACAAATCTCCCCACATGATCGGTTAAATGTGAACGATCTCTGCGGATATCCCCCCCCCCCCCCCAGAATACCTGAATACGCGGGGCAGCTTGAGCACCCACGCTCTGGCATAGTAGGGTAGTTGGAAGTAGGTGCTCAGTGAAGGATTCTCCGTCACCAGGATGCTGGTACCCTACTGGGGTAGTTTTTCATTTGATTCCGCTACCATATTTTAGGGAGGGGGGAATTGGGCCTCCGACCACCTACACTTACCAAGCGAAACGCAGAAGTAAACTTCTACCTCAAGCTGGTATTCTGTAAGGTCCATCCATGCTATAGCAGAAACTGCCGCGTGGCTCTACCACTGTTAAAACGTAAACATGGAATAAATTCTATTTACTTTTTTCTGTCCATCATAAATAAACAACCGATACAAAAAAAAATTATTCTTGATAAATTATTTTTTTTGTTATGAGACAAGTCCAGTCTTAACGAATAAACCAAACACAGTAACTGCCTTTCTTTCTTCAAAACTTCACTAATACTTTAACGTTTTTCGTAAACGCCAAACTCCCACTAGACACCACGATCGCGACTGAAAAATGTATCGCTTAAAGGCAGATAATTGATGATAAGTATGCCCGCATGCGGCGATGCCGCATAAGCACCTCACAAAGTCAATCTACCTGTCCTATTCATGACTGCCTTTACGTTTTACGGAATTATCCGGTTAATTTGGTTGTCAAAAACTATATTTAACCGGTAACCTTTATCGTTTAGGATTAATATAAACCGGTTAATGTTTAAACCGGTAATTGAAGAAGCGATAAATTTATCGGTAATTAATCGAAATTATCCGCTCTTTTTAAACCGGTTCCGAGCCCCGTCTACGCAACAGATATTGGATTATCAGCGGTTTGACAGCAATGAAGAAACAACTTATGCGGTGTACCACGCTGTGTGTGTCATCGCTTCAAAACTATCAACAACAACCAACTCATGGCCGATTTACCTCCTCCACGTGTCACACTATCCCGGCCATTCACACACACCAGTGTAGATTTCACTGGCCATGTGGAGGTAAAGGTTAACAAGGGCAGAGGAATAAAGACAATGAAGGTCTACGTAGCGGTATTCGTGTGTCTGTGCACAAAGGCTCTTTACCTTGAACATGTCTCCGATCTCAGCACAGTGGCTTTTCTGAACGCCTTAAAATGATAGTGTGCCCGTCGAGGAAAGCCTCGTCACATGTACAGCGACAACGGTACCAACTTCGTGGGCGCAGCAAGAACATTGGAAAAACAGCGAACTATTATAGATTCCCTTTTAATAGGGATCCGCTGACACAAAGCACACAGTCAGCAGTCTCTTAGTAGCTTCGGTACTTTCTTATTTCAACACTAGCAATACCGCGCAGTCCGTCATACACTCTCATCCGAAATACTCGCCTCTCAATTTCAATTCCAAAATTGTGTCATTCTATAATAAATCCAGTTGTAATTTCTAAATAGTTTTTTTTTTAAAAGACATTTCGTGAAGCCCCGTAAGCCCAGCGCCCATTTGTGGCAACGGTGAAGGGATCTATAAAAGGTCCTTGGTGTCTCTGAGGAGTCAATTGTGCAATTACTAGAACGTTCTGTGTTGTGATCTCTATAAATACTTACCGCTTAAAACTCGTTTCTTCGCTGAACTTCCGAAAACGATACCCGCCTGGCCACATGAAAATTTATGCTAGAAGAAGATACAACTGAAAAAAAAGAGAAGAAAAGAGAGTAGAAGAAGAATACCACCCAGCATCTGCTCATCATTCGCAAACCGAGTCTACGAAGTCAACAGTGCTGCACACTTCCGCTGTTTTCTACGCTGCGCTGTCGCCGTGTTCTTGAATCCTGATCAAAAATACAAGTACATAAAGCCGACATGTTCCCGTAAGTCCGCTCCAGTTTTATATGAATATTATAATGATACAGTCTTAAATGTTGTGAATAATACTGAATGTTTTATAAACTTTACAAAATATATAACCTAATTTACTTAAACAGTCAAATCAAAAAAATAAAATAAATAATAAATACAAAATTAATTCATATTTCAATTACACTCTCATTCATTCATTTTAACATAATCTATTGTATATCAAGTGTCTTTTAAACATTGTATTTTAGTTGTGTGCCATTGCTTGTATTCGAGACCAGTGCAACGCCTTATCGCTACTACTCCCACGCGAAACGCCGAGTACCTTATCTTTATTTTTCTATTGTCTTTCTTTTCTTTGACTAATCCTCGTCCGTCACAATGCCTAAAGACGAACCTATACCGGTTATTTCGACACCAAGCATCGATCTCAATATTCTTTGTAAATTTATAAGTAAGTTTGACGGCAACCGAGAAAAACTAATGCCATTTATTAATAACTGTAGTAATGCTATGAACCTCGCGTCAGATCAACCACGGGATATCCTTTTAAAATACATACTTAGTCAATTAGAAGGACGCGCTGAAAGTGCTTGCTCGATTAAAATATTTGAATCTTGATCACAATTAGAAGACTTTCTTAAATCCCAATTCGGTGACAGAAAACATTACGCTGCACTGCTCTCAGATCTACAAGAATGTCGTCAATCCAATAACGAAACGGTCAACCAGTACCTACGCCCTGCGAATAGAGACGTGTTTGTCTAAATTATTAACGGAAATAAATATATCAATACCTACAAGAAAAAAGGGAGAACTGGCAGGCCGTCTCGCGGCAATGCAGGACTTAGCGTTACACACTTTCGTGGTTGGCTTAAATCCTCGTCTATCAACAGTAGTTCAATGCCGCGACCCCGATACGCTCAATGATGCTATTAATTTTGCCGTATCTGAAGAAAAAATATTCCAGGTGACTCGACGCCACCTTAGTCAAACAAATACCCAGGATTCAAACCAAAGACGCTTTACTAGTCGTAATTTTCAACAAAACCAAACCTCCACGCGAGAGAGGCCTTATAATAATTCAGCTGGGTCTTCCTCTATGTTCAGAACTGATTACCCAGTGTGCCGATATTGTAAAATACCCGGTCATATATTAGAAACATGCCGCAAACGCGAGGCTAATAATCGACGACGATTTGGTAACGTTCAAAACAATTATAGTAATAATAATGTTAATCGCAATAACTACAATAATAATGGTCCACCGCCTCACATTTTCCCGAATCGTAATCAGCATATCAATGCTGCTATTGCAGACGATCAAAATGTCGATAACATCATTTAAACGCGGAGGATTTTCCGCCCAGTATCGCACGGGAAGACTGAATAGCGAAGCCGATACTCACCTCATTGCCAATCATAACACAGCATTTCACTCATTTTCTATTCCCGTTCTAACTCAATCTAATCGACAGGGTATTCAGCCCCAAACCGACAGATTGAAAGTTAATAATGCTACTTCAATTATCAAACAGCCTATCAACGGCGTCATATCGAAGAGTATTTCGTCTCCTGCACCTATTCCCGTTCCAACTCAATCTAACCGACAGGTTATCCAGCCCCAAACCGACAGATTGAAAGTTAATAATTCTACTTCAATTACCAAACAGCCTATCAACGGCGTCATATCGAAGAGTACTTCGTCTCCTGCATCTGAAAAGAAAGAAAACAATATTAAAATATATAACATCTCTACAAATCCATCAAAAAAATACTTACCTTTTATAAAAGTTCAAACTTCTGTCTCGTCGAAATCCTTATCCTTGCTCGTCTATACCGGCGCAGCTATCAGTATTATTAAAGATTCTGCTGTAGAAAAGATGCCTGAAATAAACAACAATACTATAGAAATTACTGGTATAGGAAATGACTCTATTACATCCCTTGGTCACATCCCAATTGAATTTTGTTCTTACCAACATAACTTCTACGTACTTCCAGCGTTTGATTTGCCGTATGATGGAATCATCGGTAGCGACTTCCTTATCAAATTAAATTGCAAAATTAATTATGATAACAACACCTTAAAAGTAAATAAAGATGAAATAAGGCTTTGTTTCACTAAGCCAGTCTATACTATTGCACCTCGATATGAAACTATCATAGAGTGTTCTGTAAGAAATCTGGACATTAAAGAAGGACTTGTTCTCGATCAGAACCCCGTAGACTCACTCCTAATAGCTAACTGCATCGTAAAATTGAAATCAAATTCAAGAATTAATATCTCCGTTGTAAATACTTCCGAAAGCGAATTATTCGTCGATTCCGATCTAAAACTAACGCTACAACCTTTGGAAAATAAATATAATCATCAAATCTTTTATACTTCTTCGGACGGTTCCCGAAATAACGTCCTTACTCGCACCGATCAAACTCTAAATCTCTTAAGATTGTCACACCTAAACAAAGAAGAGAAAGAAGCACTATGCAATCTTTGTTGTACCTACTCTGACATCTTTCATCTGCCTGGCGACAAATTAACTAACACAAACGTCTTGCAACACGAAATTCCTACTTCGTCTTCCATACCAATCAACACTAAGTCTTACCGCTTCCCTGACATTCATAAACCAGAAGTAGAACGCCAAATAAATAAAATGCTTGACGATGGCATCATCAAACCCTCGACGTCACCCTGGTCTTCACCAATTTGGATAGTTCCAAAGAAAATCGATGAGTCCGGACAACGTAAATGGCGCGTAGTCATAGATTACCGCCGTCTAAACGACATCACTATAGGAGATTCCTATCCGATACCCAACATAACAGAAATTCTTGATCAGTTAGGGAAATGTAAATACTTTAGCACTTTAGATCTTGTTTCCAGTTTCCACCAGATAAGAAGTCCGAAAAGGACGCTCCTAAAACTGCCTTCTCTGTCCCGCAAAGACACTTTGAATTTACAGGGATGCCTTTTGGGCTAAAAAACGCCCCTTCAACATTCCAAAGGTTGATGAACACTGAACACCTATCTGGCCTACAAGGACTCCAGTGCTTCGTCTACCTAGATGATATCGTTATTTACTCATATGATCTTCAAACACACATAAATAATCCTTCCAACGTCTTTGACAGACTCCGATACTTCAATCCTAAGCTCCAACCTGATAAGTGCGAATTTCTCCGAAAGGAAGTATCATATCTTGGTCATATTATTACCAACGAGGGGGTAAAGCCAAATCCAGGGAAAACCAAAGCTATTCAACAATTTACCCAACCTCGATGTCCAAAAGATATCAAATCTTTCATGGGATTAGTGTCATACTATCGAAGATTTATACCAAATCTAACCAAAATTGCAAAACCTCTTACAAACCTTCTGAAGAAAAATGTTCCTATCGATTGGCAAAATGAGCAACAACTAGCCTTCGAAACTCTAAAAAATTACCCAGACTTCACAAAGCCTTTCGAGTTGACTTGTGATGCATCAAATTTTGCTATTTCGGCCATATTATCACAAGGTCCCATAGGGAATGATAGACCTGTCGCTTATGCTTCAAGAACTTTAAATAAAGCCGAGTATAACTACAGTATAACAGAAAAGGATTGCTTAGCAATTCTTTTCGGTACTAAAGTATTTAGGCTATACCTATATGGCCGTCATTTTAAAATTATTACCGACCACCGCTCACTTAAGTGGTTATTTAACTGCAAAGACCCGGGGTCAGAACTAGTAAGGTGGAGGCTAAAATTAGAAGAGTTCAACTACGAGGTCGAATACAAAAAGGGCAAAATTAACAGTAACGCAGACGCATTCCGTTCCCTGTTAATACGGTTGTACAAAATGATACTATCTCAGATCCGCAACCTTCCACCTCCCACGAAGAACCTCAAACTACTCAAGATCCTGAACATCCTTCAGACATTCTCGAAGAACTCATTGAACTGGGTGACTTGAATCTCAGTCCATCAGAACTGTTGAATCCCGAACACACTGATTCAATTCCATTAGACGCAAAATCCCCACAAAATTCCTATAACGAATCAAATAAAGACTACTATAATGAGAGCCTTTTAAAAAGCAACTGCAAAACAATCCTAGTTCCCGTATCTATCGATTTTGACGAATCAAATCCCTATCTTGAGGATATTCTTTCCGATTTAAGTGACACAAAGGTCTTAAACGAAGAACGAGGATGATGAAGACGTTGGAGGCCCAATTCCCCCCCCCCCCCCCCATCAACATGGTAGCGGAATTACACGCAAGACTACCCCAGGGGGGTACCAGCACCCCTGGAGAATCCCTCGCTGAGCATCCACGACCATGTTATTCCAATCCTGAGCATGGGTGCTCAGGCTGCCCCGCGTATTCTGGGGGGGGGGGGGGGGGCAAAATTCCGCTCAAAAACATAACTGCTCGGGGCAAACTGAGCAACAATGCCAAGGCGACCCCTGCCGCGCTATCCGTGAATTTCTGCAACATCAGGGGACTTCACTCTAACCTAAACGCCGTCCACTACCATCTCGAGACGGCGAAGCCGGCCTTGCTCTTTCTGACCGAGACGCAGGTTTCCTCTCCGGTTGATATTTCGTATCTCTCCTACCCGGGGTACAAACTGGAGCACTCCTTTGTGCCTCGGGCTGGAGTTTGCGTGTATGTCAGAGAGGACATCTGTTATCGACGCCTCGGCAGTTTTGAAGGTTCGGACCTGGCCGTTCTTTGGCTACGCGTAGACAGCGACGACCATCCGCGCGTCTACGGGTGCCTCTATAGGTCCCATAGCGGAACTGCCGAAACAGACCGACTCATCGACCACGTCCAAATGGCTACAGATTCCTTGCTACAACAGGTCCCATCCGCAGAGATCGTGATCCTTGGCGATTTTAACGCCCACCATGCCGAATGGCTCGGTTCACGTTTAACCGATCATGCGGGGAGATCTGTTTATGACTTTGCCTTGGCATATGGTCTGACACAACTGGTTACTTCGCCTACGCGGATTCCAGATGTGGAGGATCATACACCTTCCCTGTTGGACCTTCTGCTGACCTCTCATCCGGACGGATATCAGGTTTCCGTCGATGCCCCTCTCGGCTCTTCGGACCATTGTCTGATCCGGAGTGTGGTGCCACTCACGCTCCCTCCGCGGTTGCGTTCTGCAGGTTGCCGCCGTGTTTGGCATTACAGGTCGGCGGATTGGGATGGAATGCGGTCTTTTTTTGCATCCTACCCATGGGGGCGGGTTTGCTTCTCGCCGGATGATCCCAGCGCTGTTGCTGACTCTGTCACTGATGTGGTGCTACAGGGAATGGAACTATTTATTCCATCATCTGTGGTACCCATCGGAGGCAGATCTTAGCCTTGGTTTGGTCGCTCCTGTAAGACTGCATTACGCAGTAAGCAGGAGTGTTATCAAGCCTGGGCTGCGGCTTCGGCGACTCGGGATGTAAACACCAGCACACTTAAAAAGAAGTATAACTTCGCCTCCAGGTCCTTCAAAAGAGTTATTGCCAAGGCAAAGTCAGAGCACATAGGCAGAATTGGCGAGAAACTAGTTCGCCTTCCTTCGGGAACCCGTGCATTCTGGTCTCTCGCCAAGGCTGTCCAAGGGAATTTCTGTAAGCCATCACTACCATCTCTGCACAGGGAGGACGTCACTCACTGGCCCAAGACGCAAAAGACCTTTTAGGCTACCTTTTTGCGTCCAACTCGACTCTTGATGACGGGGGGAAAACACCGCCGACCATCCCGCGGTGTGAGTGCTCCATGCCGGATGTGCTGTTCTCACAGCGCTCGGTTCGCAAAGCACTTCTCTCCCTGGACATCCAGAAGTCGAGTGGGCCTGACGGAATCCCCCCAATTGTGCTGAGGACGTGTGCTCCGGAGTTGGCACCGGTCCTAACGCGTCTTTTCCGGTACTCCTACTCCCAAGGCGTAGTCCCGAATTCATGGAAGACAGCTTTTGTCCACCCGATCCCTAAAAACGGCGACCGCTCAGACCCGTCCAGCTATAGGCCTATCGCGATCACCTCCTTGTTCTCCAAAATAATGGAATCCATTATTAACTGCCAGCTCATCCGGTACCTTGAGGATCACCAGCTGATTAGTGACTGCCAATACGGTTTTCGACGGGGTCGATCAGCTGGTGATCTTCTGGTCTACCTGACCCATAGATGGGCGGAGGCAGTAGAGTCCAAGGGGGAGGCGTTGGCCGTTAGTCTGGACATTGCGAAGGCCTTCGATCGGGTTTGGCACAAAGCGCTTCTTTCGAAGCTCCCTTCTTATGGGCTTCCCGAGAAATTGTGCAATTGGATCCCCAGCTTCCTTGCAGATCGGAGCATCAAGGTCGTTGTAGACGGTGCATGTTCTGACTACAAGCCTATTAACGCTGGTGTTCCACAAGGCTGTGTGCTATCACCAACGCTGTTTCTTCTGCATATCAATGATATGTTGCTAACTGGTAACATTCATTGCTATGCGGAGGACGGCACTGGTGATGCTCTATACACCGGCCGTGCCAATATTTCTCGGGAAAACGTCGCCAAGTACCGGAACAAACTTGTGTCTGAAGTCGAGTCTTTGCTGAACAAAGTCTCGGATTGGGGGCGACTAAATTTAGTCCAGTTTAATGCTCAGAAGACACAAGTTTGCGCGTTTACCGCTAAAAAGAACCCCTTTGTCTTATCTCCTCAGTTTCAAGGCACTCCCCTTCTTGCCTCAGCCAGTATCGGTATCCTCGGAGTCGACATATCGAGTGACGTGCAGTTTCGTGGTCACTTGGAAGACAAGGCCAAATTGGCCTCTAAAAAGCTTGGCGTGCTCAGCAGAGCGGGACAGTATTTCATGCCGGCACACCGCCTGCAACTTTACAAGGCGCAGGTTCGGCCTCACATGGAATACTGTTCCCATCTCTGGGCAGGGGCTCCCCAGTGCCAGCTCCTTCCACTTGACCGTATCCAGCGCAGAGCGGCTCGAATCGTCGACGACCGAGTCCTTTCCGATCGGCTCGACTCATTGGCACTGCGAAGAGATGTTGCATCTCTTAGCATTTTCTTTCGCATTTACCATGGGGAGTGCTCTGAGGAATTGTTCGGATTAATCCCAGCCGCCAAATTTCACGAACGCACATCGCGGCAGAACTCCCGATACCATCCACACCATCTGGATGATTGGCGGTCCACCACTGTGCGATTTAGAAGATGTTTTCTTCCTCGCACAACTTCCTTGTGGAATAGTTTACCATTTAATAGCCCCTTCTCCTATAAAAAAAAAAAGAACGAGAACTTCACTCATTTAAAAAGATAGAGTCAAAGGGCAAAATTTATTATCTTCTCTTCACAAAAGTATATTATTTTGATGACTGCTCCTATCCCGAAATCTTCAAAACCTTAAAAGCCGCCAGGGACTACATTATACTTTCAGGTAATATTAGTGAAATCGCAGTTTCTGATTTTAAGAATCTGTTCGAACAACATTCGTTTGTCAAAATATACGGCATGCTTATGTATTTATATAACAATACAAATATAACAATAAATATACATCATAACTCCATAATATACCCTGTACCGACAGAGATATCGAAAATTCTAAAAGAAAATCATGATATACCAATAGCCGGTCACTTAGGATCAAGTAAAATGTATAATAGAATTAAAGAACGTTATTATTGGAAAAACATGCGCGCAGATATAGAGAGGTATATACAAAATTGCAAACTTTGCCAAACAAATAAACCGTTAGGCAAGATTAACCCGTCTCCTATGCAAATCACAACCACTTCTACTCGCCCATTTGAGAAAATAAGCCTAGACATAGTAGGCCCATTACCCGAAGCGGGTTTTCACAAACTCCGATTTATACTCACTCTCCAAGATGATCTAACCAAATTTTCTACAGCCTATCCAATTTCCAACGTCACCGCAGAAGAAACATGCGAAGCTCTAGTTCACTTCATTTCATAATTTGGGATCCCTAAATCCATAATTATTAATTACCGATCAAGGAACAAACTTTACGGCTGACCTTTTCAAACGTACATGTGAATTTTTAAAAATAAGACAGGTATGGTCCTCTCCGTATCATATCATCTCCAGACTCAATGTACTCTCGAAAGAAGCCATGCCACTTTGAAAGAGTATCTTAAGTCCTTCGTGAACGAAAACCAAACGGATTGGCACAATACGTCTATACGGCGATGTTAGCCTACAACAGTAACGTCCATACAACAACTCAGTTCAATCCATACGAACTTCTTTTTGATCATAAGCCGCATATTCCCGATGCTATTTTCGAATCAAAAAGTAACGTTACCTATCCTGATTACATTAAAATGCTTCAGCATCGATTAAAGATTTCTCGAGAGAAAGCCCAACAAAATATACAAATTTCAAAAGAAAGGTCTAAAACATACTACGACAGAAACTCTCGCACGGTCAAATATCAAATAGGAGATTACGTCTACATCAAAAATCATCTTCGTCTTCGCAAAGCCCTCTCCCCCATTTGGAAGGGGCCTTACAAAGTTGTCAAGGTCCACAGTAATAATACCTTTACTCTCCTTATTAACAGACGCCATGTTAAACACCACTTCGATGAAGTGAAACACGCTCATGACATAAGTTCTTAAATATCAAAATTACATTCGTTTTAAGACATATATTTTAACACTTACAATTCATTTATACACTTTTCTTTTACATTATATACACGTTATTATACAATCTAGACTTAGTAAGCTCTTAATTATTATTTACAGAACCGCCATCGCATTTTGTGCTATTATTCTTGCAACCGGCAATGGTCAATATATTGAACACACCGACAAGAGCCCTGCTATATTCTTCGACCCTGTTGGTACATTGAGGATAATATAATTAATGATTAATTTCACATCGTTATTCCGGTAAACGTACATCCAATCCGACACCATTTGGAAAACATTCATGAAGTATTTAAAATAATCCGATTTCAGTGTCGTGAGAGTGCCAACATAGATTATACTCAGTGTGAAAATATGTTACAACCCCTTGAAGCACTTTACAACGACATCTTAAGAGATTTTAATGCGATTTCCCATATTATCTTAAACGGTATGTCCAAGAGATCTGCCTGGTTCTCAGGTATTGGCACGGTATTTAAACACATTTTCGGCACACTGGATGAAGATGACGCTGAAAACTACAACAAAGCTATCCATGCTCTATTTAATAACAAAAATAAACTAGCAGAGTCTATCAAAATGCACATCTTAGTTTCCAAATCCGCTATTTCTAATGTTAATAAATCCCTGGAGGAATTAAATGACAACCAAATAAAGTTAAATAGCGTCATTGAACTCTTATCTTCTACTGTTAAAAATGCATCTGAAATGCTAAATCAAACGAAACTATACAATGTTTTAAATACCTTGCTGTCTAATTTACTTACAATGTCCTTCAAAGTCGAAGATTTGTTAAACTCAATTTTATTTGTAAAAACCAACACCTTATCCATCTATACTAAGCCCAACTCAAATGTATAATGATATAATTAGTAATCTAAGAATTATGCCAAAATACAAAGATTTTCCAATATCTCTAGAATTAAGCAACATTCATACTTTAATTAACATTGCCGATTTAGTATGTTATTATTTAGACAATAAGCTTATTTTTAAAAACTACCTTTAGTTAGTTTGTTAGAATATAATATATATATATATAAGAACTTACCTTTGCCAACTCCACATGCTCAAGATAGAGCAAACTCTTTTGCCATGATCATCCCTTCTGAAAAGTTTGTAACGCTAAGCAAAGATGAAACAAGTTATGTTTATCTACAAGACATAAATAATTGTAAAAATATCCCGACAAATACTTACATTTGTGATTTTGTAGATGTAGCTACAGTATCCAATAATGTACCCTGTGAAATAGAAATTATGACGAAAGCCTTGATATCAATCCCAGATAACTGTCCATTTAGACTAATTTCCGGTGATCTGGATATATAGCATAAACTATACAATAACAAATGTATTTTTGTTCAAACCAAACCCACTAAGTTATCAGTGGAGTGTAGTAACAATTTAACCGAATACACTCTATCTACTCACAATTCCACCTGATTGCGTAGCTTTCCATAATAATCTGAAATTAGAAACTAAGCTCTACCCGAGTATAAATGTTCCCGGAATATATTTGGATTTTAATATAATTAATGATAGTTGTTGTAAGTTAAGTAACCTTAACAAATTTTCAGTTAACCTTACGTCTTCTATAAATGTAAAAACTTTGAATTTAGAAAATTTAAAATCTTACAACACTGATTCCGATCAGATTATCAAACGACTAGACACCCTAGAAAGTCCAAATTTGTATAATATTAGTTTCTCTATAATAAGTCTTATATCTGTAACACTTTGCATATCTATTATAACCTATATAATTTGTAAGAGAGGAAAATCTTTCAGAGAGCATTTTAATTTTAACAACGAAAATACAGAAAATCATCATCACGCTGATCAACCACAGCTACGCATAGAGTAGCCGTAAACTCACTCAAGGGTGAGTTTCCTCTCAACGGGGGGGTTGTTATAGATTCCCTTTTAATAGGGATCCGCTGACACAAAGCACACAGTCAGCACTCTCTTAGAAGCTTCGGTACTTTCTTATTTCAACACTAGCAATACCGCGCAGTCCGTCATACACTCTCATCCGAAATACTCGCCTCTCAATTTCAATTCCAAAATTGTGTTATTCTATAATAAATCCAGTTGTAATTTCTAAATAGTTTTTTTAAAAAGACATTTAGTGAAGCCCCGTATAACAGAACGCAGACATTACAATGCTACATAAACAATGACGTCCTAACTAACCTGTCAGAGTGGGGCATTGAATGGCATTTTAACGCTCCTTCCTGGCCTACTGCTATGTTTCAGGCTTTTGACTGCAGCTTCTTAGAGTCCACCACTCTAAGAAGCTGCAGTCAAAAGCCTGAAACATCATCTCAAACGAGTACTTGGGGATCAAAAACTTACATTCGAGGAATTTTCCATACTTTTGGCACAGATTGAAGGATGTCTCAACTCTCGCCCCCTGGTGGCGTTTTCAGAGAATATCGAAGATATTCACTGCTTGACACCGGCTCACTTCCTAATCGGCGAGCCTTCTCTTGAACCACCACTATCCGCTGAGGGTAAAGACATGACCTTCACTACAAGATGACAACTTACGGAGAAAATGTACAAGGACTTCTGGAGAAAGTGGTCCACTGACTATGTCCAAAATCATAAGAAGCGACCGATTACCAAATTGTTACGCCTTCCGTTGGAGCCGTCATCTTATACAACTGCATCTTCTAACATTGACACTACGAAGCCTGCAAGAAATACACCAGGAAAACGTAGAAACACCAACGGCAAAAAACTCTTCAACAACCTTTTTTAATGAACACACAATTTCGTATCATTACACTCATCTCGCTGAAATCGAAAATCGCATACAATTCAGCCGTGACACATAGTATTGTCATTGCTGACTTTCATAACAGCTACCGCTCTGGCCATGAAGTTGATCATTTCAAACATACGACGAATACAATACCAAGTCCTAGACCTAGCAACTGACGTAAGAGACGGGAGAGTTGACACCCATCTCAGCAAGTCTAACTAATTTGAAGAGCAGCTCAACATCATCTCCGGTCAGTTACCAAGTGAGTTATCGCTACCCTGTGCACGCGAAGCCTATACAAGCTGGCGTGAGTGCACGTGCACTTAACAAGTGCATACCTAATATTCGAAGTAAAGCTACCGCTAATAAACAACGATTCCTATTCCGCAAATAACTGGACATACAAAGAACTATAGTACTCACCTCTGAATACCTCGTTGTAAACATAAAAAGGGACATGATAGTGCCCTTAGAAGACCGAGATGTATCATCATGCTTAAATCTTCAAGAAAATAAAATAATATGTGCTATCAATCAACCTATTTACAACATCAAGGTAGCCGATACATTATATGAAGCGCAAATATTAAACAAAGGCGACTTATCAACATATCGCACAAGAGTATTGGATTGCAACGACAGGTGGGTTACACAATCGTGGCGCGTGGCTGTTCTCCTGTTGCGAAGACTGCACGATGCGCATTTTCTGCCCAGCTGGAGTGACGTCACAGCACTTAAATTATGTCGGCACGGGGGTTATGTCACTCGGACTTGGGTGTATGCTCAAGGGAAAAAGCTTCATCATTCATGCTCGCAACGACTATCACAGCGAGTTGAAACTAACAGGCAGTGAAGAAAGAATGTATATGTGCGAATCAAGTCTGAACCACATATTGAGCTGAAGATCATAAAGACGCCTTACAAGAGCTGAAAAACAACATTGATAAGGACAAGGAACAGCAACAAACGCTGAGTGTACAATCACTTACACATGACAAACACAACTATGTGTTGTACACCATAATCGGAGTTATCATCGCAGCCTTCATTGCATGGGGGACATTTCGGCTGAAAAAATGTCAAAGCTGCAGCGCGGATCTCCGCGACAAGCCAGACTCCAACAATGTCGAGCAGCCAACCCAAGGACATTCATCGGAGCACCGGGTCTCGGACATCGACAATGTGGATGCTGTGATCGCAACGACTGCCCGTAAACTCAATAGGGGTTCATCACCATAAACTTTCTTCTTGTTTATTAAATTGGGAAGATGTACGAGCAAGTACATGGTATTTCAATAGTCTAGGAAATATGCTGATATTGCGCCTGCGCGCGCGATACGTTCTTTCCACTTACATTTTATTCATAAGTTTTCTTAGTGCAATAAACGCTCTCTACGGAATCGCACACAGTTTTAATTACCACATCCCGTAACGTAGATACAACCCACATCGACATTCTACACATCAATTATATGTAGAGGGTTACAACTCACAAACCTCCCCCTACAGACTTGAACTTCTTGAACTTCTAT